TATATGTCTACTTCCTGAACACAACCGTACCTAATCTACGTGGAAAAAAGAACGGAACAAATGCTTGCTGCAAGATGTAGAAAAAATGTCGTCCCCAGAGTTGCAATAACTACAACAAAAATATTTATTTATTTATTTATTTATTTTTTTCACTCTTAAAATAAGAGTTACAGCTAGTCTAGCCCGCAGATAGCTGACGCTAGTGTAGGCGGGCTAGTGCACAAAATTTGATAAGAAAATCCAAAATTACGGATCACAATGCTGTGGTCGGAGTCCGTTGGTTACTGTATACTTAAAATGTTCTTTTATGCCAGCCTATTAGATGGTGAGAAAGATTGATAAAATTCAGTGAAATGTTGACACGCGTGCACACCCTTTGGAATGAATAATAATAAGTTTTAGTAGATAAATTTTTCCTTGCGTTTCTTCCTCTGTGATTTCCCATTTCTCGTAACTGTGAGTCTTGTGTCCGTCGTAAAACTGAAAAGAAAATTTGGAATTTTATCTATGTTTCTTACCAAAGGAAGACAGTGCTGAATTATCTGTGCAAAAGTTTCACTCAGAATGCGTTCTTAGATATTTCAGTTTTCTCTTCAGGGACTGGATCCTTCGATGAAAAAGTATTAGCGACAATGTCATCAACAGAACGACAGAGACAGGTGCGGGTTGCCAAATTCCAACTTTAAATAACTTCGTGTAAGAATCGAACGTTAGAACCACAGCAGTGCTGTTTCATATTCMCTTCCCTTCAGTCCATTTGGCTCATTGACAACTTTGTCTTTGTATTTTTTTATCAATAGGCTTATGGTTTTTGTCACAGGAGCAGTCATAATGTAAAGCTTGTAACGGAAACATATGACTTTTATTGATATGCCTTTATACCTCCTGCCTTTTTAGACGAGTGGTTTAGTGACGTATGATACTGAGGGTTATGGCCTGACCCACCCCTCCCCCCTTCCCTTTCAGATTGTTTCCAAGGAGTACGTCTTGATATTCTGGCGGTAACACTCTCCACATGTCACTCAATGCTTGCTGTCGTGTTGTTTCATTCGTAATTGTCTCTCCTCTACAGAATGTTATATATGAATTGATGAATACAGAGCAAAGCTATATGGATGATCTGAGTGCGACTTGGGAGGTAAGTGCCTGACGGAATTGATAAAGTGACAAGTTTTGAGGTTATAATTTTTCTTTTAGTTGAAGTTAAAGTTTTGAAGTTAATACCTTCAAAATTTGAAGGTATTGCATTGATTAATTCAGAGAGAGGTCTTAAAGTTTTTTTTTGTTTTGTTTTGTTTTTTTTTTTCGGCGACGAAGAGTTAAGGCAGAATAGTTTTGTGCAGTGGCCTTGCATTCTATTCGAGTTTAGTTTCTCTACTTTTCATAAAGTTGGATTTTTGCTTGGCACTCTCCTTTTAGCTCAGCTGCGCCCCCATCATAAGCAGCCGGTCACCATTTCGGGCGTTAGCGTTGTTACTTCCATACGATATATACAGGGTTCCTCAGGAAAAAGTTTTAAAGAACGGTCATTCATATTAATAGCTGGAGGACACTGAAGAAAGTTAAAACTATTGGTCTTTATTTTGTAAAGGTGTTCTACAATCCTCTTGCTGAGTCTGGTCTGTTGACAGAGCAAGAACTCGGTACTGTGTTTATCAACTGGAAAGAGCTCATCTGGTGTAACATGAAACTGCTCAAGTGAGTTGTTACCTAGTGCTTTACCTAGCGGTTCTAATCACTCAATTTAGTTTTCCTTCATTCTTGACTTTGAGAACTCACGCTACGATTACAACCAAATCAGACTTAAATAAACACCTAGAACTGTAGAATTGTATTTTTGACGTTCTGAGACAAAGCAAGGCTTAGCTTGTTCACTAAGTTGTGCACTGTTTTGATCCGCAGGGCATTTCTCATTCGAAAGAAGATGAGCAACAACGTGGCAATTACATCGATTGGCGACATTTTGTGTGAAATGGTGAGATATCTTTAAAACTGAACTTACTGCCATTTGGTATGTTACATGATTTGATAGGGCAACATACGGAGAATTCAGAATTTGTTAGATACCGAATCTTCCTCAGGGACTCGAAGTTTTGCTTCTCCATTGGTTTTGACACAAGATAAACATGGTAAATAAATCAGAGACACTCAATTAAGAGAAACTGGAGTTATTATACAAGCGATTTCGAGAGCTTGGGTAGAATGAAGTTGAACATTCTCCCTTTAAAGTTTATTCTTTTAATTCCCAACATTTTCTTTTTATGTCATTCTTTTAGTTGCCCCGCCTCACCCCATATGTCAGGTTCTGTAGCTGTCAGCTCAAAGCTTGCCAGTTGTTACAAACCAAGATCGAGACTAATCCGGAGTTTAAGCAGCTAGAGAAGGTAAAAATTTTGTGTGAGATCAAGTAAGGTCCTCAAGGTGATATGTGTGTTTCTTCTCATCTCTTTTCTGTTTGGCGATGCAGCATATTGTAAGGATATATTATTTTGATATTGGTCATTTCTGGAAGGGAAAGGGTTAAACTACTCGAAAACTGGAACAAGCATCAGATTTCACGTTACTGTGATCTTTAAGCGTAAAATACCGTTTATCTTGTCTCCATCGTTGTGTCAACACCCCTGAGGTTGTTGAAAATATATCAATTGCTGGATAGAACGGCTTAATATCCCTTTGCACCCTCATATCAGTATGCATATTCACCATACTGTTCTCTATACATTTCCTGAGGTGCTGACAAGGAGAATTTGTTTACCATTCAAGAGCTTCTTTGCCTGGTGATCATTTCCTTTATTCTTGTGACCTTGATGTATGGTTGAGGGGTGATATTTCAGGAGAAATTAGATGTTAGTCATTGTTTGGGATTGAAGGGTTAAAGAGAGGATGAAGACCACCTCCGCATGCTCCATTTGTATTGATTTGACAATGGAAATTTAATGTTCGACAGAGAAAAGTTAGGGCTTCCATTTAATTTGTCTCCCTTGGTTTGTCTCCAGAGCTGTATAGCTGATCCCAGAGCTAAAGGTCTTCCTTTGAGTAGCTATCTTTTGAAGCCTTTGCAGAGAATTTGTAAATACCCTCTTCTTATCCGAGAGGTAGGTATTTTTCTCTTTACTGGTCGAGACTAGTCAAAAGTACCTTTTTCTGCAGTATTTTCATGGGTTAATCCGTCTACTTTGTGTTATTGCTTTATTATCGATGGAGTCGAAGATGGCGGCTACAAGGCCAGCAATGCCACTTATTGTGTTTTGTCTGTCTCTGGATATGCCGTACAATCGTTTCTTTTCTTTCTTTGCAGATCTTAAAATTTACTCCCGAAAATCATTTCGACAGAGGCAACTTAGAAACCGCGCTTGAAAAAGCCGAAGAGCTCTGTCAACAGGTGAGAAATCCCTGCTGCTTGACAGGGACTTTCCCAATCCTCTTCCTCCTTCTCTCCCATTTCCCTCTTTTTCTCCATGCTCTCCCCTTGTTTCTCTTTATGTGCACCATTTAGTTCATACCATTTCTAGCTACAGGTTTTCCTCTGTTGTTGAGTTTTTGCGCGTTTGCTCCACAGGTCAATGAAGGTGTTCGCTCTCAAGAAAACACAGACCGCCTTGAGTGGCTTCAAGCACACGTCAACCTTGAAAGTATCGGAGAGGTATGTGAACTGTTGTCGTCAAGGTTTGGTAAAGTTAGTGATTTGCTCTACAAAGTGGCATGTTTGATGATTCTTTTTATTTTTCTTGTTTCTTGGTAGCGTTTGTTTTTTAATTCCACTACAAACTGCCTCGGACCAAGAAAACTGTTGCATTCTGGAACACTATGGAAGGTACATTCTTTTCCTTTCTTTTTTTGTTTTTGTTTTGGTTTTTTTTTCTTTTTTGTTATCTGTCCTATTCTTCTACCGAGTCCACCCTTTAAGGATCTACGATCCCCTTGCCTTATTCAGTGGCTGGTCGATTTAGCCGCCCTGTCTTTAAAATTGCCCTTTGCACTTTTCTTCACCGCCATGTTTCTCCACCCAGACAAGAATACAACTGCTTCGAATCATAACTAAAGTTTGGGTGTAATGAACAAGAATACCACTGATTAAGGATCGGCGTTACACACACATGTATGTGTGACACTTGATAGTCGTGAAACTTTAAAAGAAAACAGTGTTCCCTGTGGTTCTATTTTAGAATTTTACTTCCTAAAGCCAACCACAGGCATCTAAGCAATAAAATTGCGGTGAATTGAAACTTCACCTTTGTTATTTCAGGTTAAGAGTGGAAAAGAACTCAAGGCTTTCCTCTTCAATGATTTCCTTATGTTAACGCGACCGCAAAGCTCCATTGCAGGAAGTTTGTCCAAGAGGATTGGATTTGAATCCAATGAACAAGATGCGATATATGACATTTACAGAAAGGTGGGTCTCAATACGATTACCTCTTCCTTTTCTTACTCATTTCGTTCTCTTAACTGTGGCTGAGTTGGCTGTCAACTTCCATTAGAATTTGTGATGAGGGTGACGTATTCTTGCCATTTTGTTTCAGCCTATCATGCTGAATGAGGTCATCGTCAAGAGAAATCAAGAAGTGAATAGTACGTAACGATTATTTTGCTCTTTATGCTATTGTGAACCAAAAAAAAATTAAACAAATAAATGAAATTTTTTTTAATGTGTAATCATTCACGACGGCTATCGCCTTACGCCGTTGCTAGAACTTAATTAATTATACATCTGGCTAGAATTCCGGGTTAAGGCGTGTCAGAAAACTCCCAATAGAATTGCTAAGGTTGATGTCATCTTTTTCTCCTTAACTTTCAGCTGAAGAGTCTGTCTTTCACATATCACACATTGATCAGACGTATTCCTTCCGAGCTGAGTCTAAATCCGAAAGGTAACTCTCACGCAAGACTGAGCCATAAGATATGTTTATTTTTATTCGTGTTCAGCGGACTATTGTTCGGCCGTTCTTATCAATTGTGGAAAAAAGACGGTGGCCTAAAGATAAGTGCTCAGAACTTAGGTTTGACAAGGCTGGGTTCGAGCTTTCGCCAGGGTATTATGTTTTTTTGTTCTAGGGTAAGCCACAATTTCACATTGTCCCTCCTAACCTTGGTTACAAATGAGTTGCCACGAACTGTCTGGGAAACTTCACGAACTGTCTGGGAAACTTCACGAACTGTCTGCGGTGTTACCTGTAATGTTACATTTCTAACTGTCTTGCTGACTACCTTTGATACGCAGAAATCGCTGGATGGATCTAATGGAGAAAGCTTCTACGACGTACATTGAAACAGAACGTGAGTTGCGACAGAAAACGCATAGAGGTTAGTATAATGGTGCCACCTTCCCTTGACCCTTTGTTTTGAGGGAGGGGAGGGGAGGAGAGGAGGTTGTACAGAAGTTACAAACCGTAAATGAGATGGCTGTTTAGTGGTTGGTTGCCTTAATTATTTGTCAGTCCTTTTGCCTTGCGAAAAACAGGATGGCCAAACGGTGACTGCTCCGGATTTTCGATAGAGTGATTCGGGTCAACCGTCTGGGGTAGTTATCCACTGTTGAGCGAGATTGACCCGCTTCCTGTTCAGGAAGAAACGAGGAGGGGTGTGGGAGTGACGACTGGGTGGGTACGGAGTAGTAGTATTCTTATTCGTATAATGTTCTTATTTTTTTTTCTTTCTCGTTTCCTGTCTTCAGCGCGATCGTTTCGGACAAGCGGAATTGGAAAAGTCACGGTGACCATGGTCCAAGGAGTTGACTTAATAGCTTCTGATCCCAACGGTGAGTTCAGTGATAGTGATGTAGGATTTGGATTTGTAAATTGCCAAAGGGAACACGAAACAAAATCATCAAACTGTCATCTAATCAAGTTTAAATGCCTTGAAATTACAACACCAGAATCATAGTTAGTAGAGGGGGACTAACTATGCCCGAATATTACAAGAGTTCTGATATTAAAAGATTCAGGTGTTTTTACTTTTGTGTTTATTCTTCGGTATTGATGTGAAGAGTCTCTCTGTATTTTTTGCACACCTTGCAAAAATGACGAAATAATTTTGAATTAAAATTTTATTTGGATTTAGCTGCATATAAATGCTTTGTTTTCCGCTTATCAAAGAATATTGGATGAAATCCTAAATATGAAGGGGATTAAACGGAACCTAATCTTTTTTTAAACCAATGTACCGATTCTATATAACTAAATCTTTGAGTAAGTCAGGTTATACAAAGCTTATCTAGAAATGCATCATAATATGACAGGTTTGAGGCAAGTGTAAACTCTAAAAGTGAAATACTTCGCTGTATATATTCATTTAATGAATTGATCGTGAAAAAGAGCACAGTCGCTTACAACTGCACAGACTTAAACCCCACGGGTTCTGTCGCTGTTTTCCTATTGGACCACTACTCTAAAATCTTGAGTCTGTCCTAAACAGGCACAAAATCGGAACTCATTCAAAACTTCCTTAAACGCAGTTCGGTAATTTGTACTGTTCAGCGCATATGTGATGGGATTTAAACTAGAACTGCAGTACACCAGAAAATACGAAGTCTTGTAGAAAACGCTGCCTTGGGCTATGTCTGCTGCGGTTGCAATGGCAAAGGGAAAGAAACAAAGCAAAAACACAGCGGTGACTATCAGCAGCATTTGAACGATTTTTCGTTTCAACACCGCATCATTGTCCACTCCGGCGTTGGCGTTTGAGGAGCAAATCGTGTTTGTAAAGTATAAACCTCTGACTATGCTAAAGTAGCAGACGAACATGATAACGAAAGCTGTAGTGACAATTACGGCAAGGACGATCCAATACGCGTTGTTTTTCGCGGAAGAAGTTGGCCAGCTTGTGATGCATCGATGGTACTTCTCGCTGTACGTTTCGAAGATAAAGAGTGGACACACATAAGCGATGGCGAAAATCCAGATCCCTATGATGGCAAAGAGGACGTTTCCTCTGTTGAGTCGAAATCGCGTTTCCATTGGAATCACCAGAGCTTTGTAGCGTTCCACAGAGATTAATGTCAGTGTCATTCCAGAGACGATCATTCCAACACCAGCGATGGTGTGCGTTGTGATAAATTTACAGAGGAAATTGCCCACATGCCCATTTGGTTGCTCGGTGTAGGAAAGAGTCGTCCCCGGAAGGCAGAAGACGAGAGTCAACAAGTCTGAGATCGCGAGATTGACGAGCAGGAAGTTCATGGTGGAATGCATGGAGCGTTTTCTTCGCACCACTTCTATCACAAGTGAGTTACCAGCAATACCCACAAGGACTACCACGATATAAGCTGAAATCAAGTAGATATCTGCTGTGTCCACCCGCATGGTAAATCAAAGAGATGCGATAGTTACATCAAGCTCGACTTTCTTTTGTTTAAGTGAAGATCAACACTCCAACATCAAAAGTTTTCAATGGTAGTTTCAATTGCTCTACCGATGATTCAGTCATCTGCTGTTTCGATTGCCGTAGTAATGACCCGTTTTTCAGACATCTCGTGCGACGGTATCATCAAAATTTCAGTATTTTGATGTTTTTTCTGTCGGCTCTATTCATTCGATTTGATTTCTTTCTTATAAGTCTCCCTTTTAAAAGTTTCCAGCAGTATTCTACTGTTTCTCCTGAGCTGTAAAATCTGCTTTTCTTAATAATAGACGGAAACTGGGTATTTGCTTTCGATGGTGCTTTCCTGACGTTTTAATGTTGTCTCTGCCTTCTCGTATTGAACCCGGCTTTTGGTTAATTGTGGCATCAGATAGTGAGGTATGAAATCATTTTCTCAGAGCTTCAGGAGTGATGCGGTGACCCAAACCTATCAAATCAAAGTTTATTTAATTTAAAAGCTCTAGCAGTTGAAATGGAATCACTTATTGAACCGGAAAGTTCCTTGTTAAATAAATAATTTTTAAAGTAAGTTGTTTTGGTTCAGTGTATCATATTTAGTTTTGAATGGGAACCATTGAATTTCGAAATTTTTGTTTCGACTTTGACAGCTCTTTGTTAATCCAGCCGTCTAGGTGTACACAGTTCCGGGACCTTTACAAAATTGCGAGAAAAAATAATACCTGGAACAAATTTTTATTTTATTTTTCCCACAAGGTTTACTTTAAACGCCCATGGCATAATTTCCCATTGAGTTAAAGATGTTGTTTACGGTATCTTAGTATGCAAGAGAGTCATTTCATATGCAGAGAGGTGTAGCAAATTGGTTATTATGTTTGATAGATGTTTTTTTTCTCAGCACCCTGTGGCTTTTCATTGATACTATTCTATCACTTTGTTTTTCTAGACCCTTGAATAAATATTGTTCTTTTTCCTTCTTTAGCAGCTTCGCGTCCAGTTAGAAATCACTCTTAATTCAGTGCAAAATTTCATATGCGGCTTTGAATATTTTCTCAATAAATGAAAAGCCCTAACAAACAGCGACAAAAACTCCTCGATAACAAAATTTATGTTTAGTTAAGCAGTGTTCCAATAATGATCAATGCTGGGATTATCTGTAAATCGAGTAACTATAATCGATGTGGTTCGAGTCGGAAAGTACAAAAGTGAAACATAATATTATCGCTCTGTTCTATCCTGAAGTGATGGACAAATTTCTGCCCTGAAACATGCTACAGTTAAAACTCCCACGTAATAATGAAGTCTTCAACTTGTGTTTTACAGAAAGTTTCAATCGCTGAGTGGATGCATTATATATTTCGTTTACATCAGCTGAAAAGTAAACACTGTTTCATCACAAGTCGATATGACTGCAATACATGGGGCAATCTACAATGAGCAGTATCCAGTCACTTGAAGTTTTCCCGATTCTTAACTATAATTTAATTTTTGTTTTTGGTAGGTTTTGTTTTTGCGTTTGTTTTTTTTGTTTTATAGCATCAATTTTCCTTTCTTCCTCACCAACAACCTTAATGTTTGTCGGTGAGTATATTGCTCATTTTTTTTCGACGAAGTTTACAATTAATCAGACCCAATCTTGAGGATAAAAATGAGCTCTGCAGAAGCGCTTTCAAAGCAGTGTGTCCTAGGCGCGATGTTAAACTTTCTTACCTTCTACTTCTCGATCAACTTTCAAGCGACTAAAAGTATTGCTGTCCAATCACTTTTGGCGCTCATTAATCTACAGGAAACGCAACTGGCATGGTGTGAATTTAACAAAAAATTAGCATGAATACGACAAATGTGTTGCGTAGTATTCAACGTCCGATATATCTTTTACATATCGTTAATTGATTTTTAAAAACTTTACCCTAAGGTAGTTTCTTTCTTATAGAAAGCACTAGTCAGAACACTAAAAGTCGGGGATAATGGAAATAATTTTTTTCTTTTAATACTCAGTAGATAGCAGATGAGAGATGAAATGGTGATCTGATGTGCAAAGTATTTATCCGTAATGGCATCCAGAGAAGTCGATGGCAATTTTTACGGAGAACTGATACTTTGATAGTGGCTGTCTTATATTTAGTGATGGTTAAGTCTCTACAAGGCACCAGACTTATTTCTGTCATTTTGAATTATGAAGATTTAAAGAAATTAAATCTTTTGAACTGGTTCATCGAAATATTGTCTTAAAACGAAGCGCAGTCTTCCCATTCCGGAATGGATCGCTTACCTTACTAGCCTTTGACTTGTTTCCGGAATCTTCACTTGAATTTTCGTATTTGATATGAATCACTATGGAACGAGACAATGTCGCTATCAAAGTGCCTTAGCACCTTATATAGACTGTCAGATTTGCAAACAAAATCATTTGCGCTTGGAGTAGACAATGTATGGTTTCCAAGAAAGAAAAAACATCTGCTTCATCCAATTTGTTTTAACTAAACATTGAAACACCGAGGTTCAGTAGTATCGCTTTTCTACTCTCCTATCTACGTCATTGGTAGGTTAGGCTTTCAGAAGACAGCTATCACGCGCACTTGTTTACCGAATAAGAAAACTCATTATGTTTTGCTGTGATTGGTGAGCATTAAGCGCATTTTTATTTGCAAAGTATGTTATGCAGGGAAATCAAAACTGTGTTGTTGAACATTTCAGGAAAGATTCATTTTGAAAAAAATACAGATACAGAGATCTATTAGCCTTTTTCGTTTTCAAACGAGCCCTAAGGGGTTTCACTTACCCACTACGGAAAAAAAAATCTTACATCTAGCTTCTATGAATGTTGTTCTTACCTAATAGCTAATAGCGGAAACAGATGAAGTATACAACTCACTTTTATGAAGCTGTTCGTTGGGACTTACACCTCCTCAGTCTCAAATTTCTTTGTCAGAATTGTCTTGCAAAGTTACTAATGGTTCTTCAGACTTAAGCCAAGCCATCTACGTCTGCCACAATTAATTGCTTGGCAACACCGTGTGGTGATGGGCAGAGAGGCCTCAACATTTTATTGCTCTTAGCAGCTGGTGCAAAGCTGTAGCCAATTTCTGCAGATATGTTTCAGAGCCAGTCAGATGCAAGATGTTATAGAAAATGTTTGATGATTTCTTTTGTTTTGTTTTTTTTCATCGTGGTTTTGTAGATAAATGAGCGTTGAATCATTTGTCTCACGATGTAGAATCAAGGTATCAATCATACTGATGGCGACATTTCGATTGCTGCACTGCTAGTGCTCGTCAGGCGACGAGGTCGAACGTGTATGTGTCGCTTTTTGCAGCACCTTGGTTTGCTGTTATTCGTATGGTAACCCTCTCTGATTTGGGCTCCGCTCGCTTTTTGGCGTTTGTCTCCCATATTAAGAGGTGTTAAAGCTTCCCCTGTATTCGAGGAGAGCAGTTTTTTTAGCTGTTTGACAGACTTCTTGTTAGTTGTAAACAATATCTTTGGGATGAAGTAACTCCGGGTGGAAAATGTAGATTTCTTTACTAGATGACTTGTGCTCTCGGTCTTATTTTATTTTTCTAATGCATAGGTCAAAGTGATCCCTATTGTGTAGTGAGCATGGGCAGTCAAGAACACCGCACGAAAGTGGTACCGCAGACGCTCAATCCGAAATGGAATTCTCAGGTAAAGTTCGCAAACTTATATTACTAACCATCGAAAAAAGCTGGATAAGCAGTTTTGTAGTGTCCATTCCTTGACTCAATGATAATGCGTTCTCTTCAATATTTCTCTTTACAGATGACTTTCACGGTGAAAAGCCTTGAGCAAGATGTGCTCTGCATCACTGTGTTTGATCGAGATCTGTTCTCTCCAAAGGGTAAAGTGACAAACCACGAACGATTCCTATTCTGTAATCGCTATTTTCGTTTGTTGGTTTTACTCCAATTACTGTTTCTGAAATATGATTTTTTATACTTTTTTCAGACTTTTTGGGTCGCACAGAGGTAAGCTTGGCAAAGCTTTTATCGAAAGGCAAGGGACCCTGGTTGGAAAGACTGTTATTGCACGAGGTTGGAACGGGAGAAGTGGTAGTTAGGATTGAACTACAATTAGATGCGACATAAATGTAATATAAATCATTATGGAATAAACGCTAAGCGAATGGCTATAGCCTCTAATATGCATATGATCACGTGTTACCTCGTGACGCCACGCCCAACTGTAGGGAGTCATTTTTAGCTAAGTGTCAAACGTGGCACTAACTAGTAAAAGATGTTGTTGGGGAGAGGTTTATGTCGTTGTGAGTTTTTATAGTATCCACTGATCGTTCGAGAGCAAGGAACTGCCAACGAGTCTCGAATTTGCTCATTCTTCAGAGGACTGTGCTTATACAGGCTGTTCCGCCTGTTTGCGACGTGGTAACCCTTTATACACCAGAAAATTTAACTGAACCACTGATGTAGAAATTCGAAAACGGGGATTGCCTCCGAGTGTGTCGTTTTTTCTTCCCTTTAAGGTCTAAGTTCTAAGTTCGCGAAAATGTGTAGTTCGTAAGGACTTCTACGCGGTTGTAATGGGTATTTTAATTCCAGTTGCGAACTTGTGAAAATACCATTTGAAGCTAGTTAACTGAAAAAAGGATTGATATATCCTGGCTAAATGTCAAGGTTAAATTTTTCTTTGATATTGAATGGTATGATGACAAACCAAACCAAAACTCTTTTCTGTTATTTGTATTTTTTTCAAGTGCCTCTTTAAAATGAAAGTAACATAATTCAAGAGTACATGTATGTAATCTTTCATCAGTGTTATCCTCATAAGCATAAGAAACTATGTAGAGAACGTGATGTTCTTACCGATAATTACGTTAAAATTCGTCTTGTAATTAAGGTACTTTTATTCTTCTTAGAGAAACAAAGCTTAGAAACACACGAACTAACTTTTTTTTGTGTTCTGGCAACGTTATGTCGTCTTGTTGCATCATTCAGATTTGAACTTTGTAAGTCATTTTTGCTATGCGCTAGGTTTCGACTATTTTCTTTTTGTTTGCAGACGAAGTCGATGTGAAAAAGGTGTATACAATTAAACATTTTTAAGAAAATGGACCAAAATATGAAATTAATGAAATAACTTGTACTGTGAGAGAACTAGCTTTCTAACACTTACAGCAATGTCGTAATATGTCCTTTGTGAGGTAAAAAGTGCGAATAAAAAATTCTTAAACTTATTTTTCTGCGTTTCTTGTATTTTTTTTCCTTTCTGTGTTTTCCTGGCACTCTAGTTAGGTGGGTAATGTTTGAAAATACCTTGCGACAAGAGTGACAAAAAGGAATTTGAGTCACTGAACGGTTGCCAAGCTGAAGAACATGGTGTTGCAAAAATGATGAAATAACTGGTGCTGAAAGAGAATTTGCATTTCTACACCAACAGCAGTAAATAAATAAATAAATAATTCAGCAATGGACATTCCACTGGGTGACTCTTCTTGTCCACTGTTTCCAGATCGAATTGGAATTTGGAATGTTGGTTTTTGCGGAGGGATTAAAACCTGAGGACCCGGAGAAAAACACTCAGAGCGAGGACGAGAACCAACAACAAACTCAACCCACATGAGACGCCAGGGGCCCGTTTCTCGAAAGTCCCGGTAACTTTACGGGCCCGTAACTACGGTTTTAAAATCAAAATTTAAAGGATAGGGAAGCAGGTTCTGGCACCCAAACCAGTCCTTTTTGTTTCTTTAGCTGATAGTTTTATTACATCATTTTCAAAACTTTTGAAATCCCCATCTTGAATGAAAACAGAATAGCTTCACGGGCCCGTTAAGTTACCGGGACTTTCGAGAAATGGACCCCTGGGACCCGTTTCTCGAAAGTCCCGCTAACTTAACGGGCCAGTGAAGCTGTTCTGTTTTCATTCAAGATGGGAATTTCAAAAGTTTTGAAAATGATACAATAAAACTATCAGCTAAAGAAATAAAAAGGACTGGTTTGGATGTCATAATCTGCTTTCCCATCTTTTAGATTTTTATTTTAAAAGATGGCTTCGGGCCCGTTAAGTTACCGGGACTTTCGAGAAACGGGCCCCAGGTCCGGGAATCGAATCCGGGCCACAGTGGTGGGAGGCGAGTGATCTCACCACTGCGCCATCCCTGCTCCTCAGTATCGTAATTTGTCCTGATGCGGTGAAACTTCTATAAGAAAGTCCTATACTGACTTTTCTGCATGTCCTGTTCTATTTTAGCTGGTTGTTCGTGTTATTTTATGTGCCCTCTAGTCAGGTTTGTGTTGAATAAGCTGAATTCTACACGAACTTTCAAGGAGCACTCTGATGAAACCGCCCTGTAATTTGAAAACCCGAAAAATTCAGTTATTTCATTATAATATGAATTTTTACTGATTAATAAAGCCTTTTCAATAATAATTTGAGTTGAAAGTCAATTCTAGGGCGAGAAGTTGCGATTCAAAACCGTTCCGCCATTAATTTTTGCACTCACGGCCAACTTATATTCGGTCAGCGGTTACTCCCATTGTGACAGATTACTCAACACACTTTTATATCTATACGGAAACCTCGTTTATACGATTAAAATGAATAAAGGCTGATAGTTTCGAAAGAAACTGTTTGGGGTTGCGTCGGTGGGAGTAACGAAATAATTTGGATATATCAACAAAGTTGAGGTGGTAAATTGGCCACCGTAACGATTACAAAAGCTGACGTTTCGAGCGTTAGCCCTTCGTCGGAGCGAAAACGATTAAAATACTGGTTTTGAAAATTAGCCACGATCACTGCGCGTCAAATGAGTAATCTACGTCGAGGTCCCTCTCATTGTGACGTAGATTACTCAACACACTTTTATATTTATACAGAAACCTCGTGAAGTTCAGTGAAATAGTCTTAGTCTTAGTGTTATAAAAAGCAATATAGACGATCAAAATACTGTTTTTGAAAATTAGCCACGAGCACGGCGCGTCAAATGAGTAATCTCCAAACACGCGCAAGTCTTCTTGAGCCTGCGAAGTGATTACGAAAATTAATGTCGGAACGGTTTTCAAATCGTAATTTCTCGCCCTAGAATTGACTTTCAACTAAAATTATTATTGAAAAGGCTTTATTAATCACTAAAAATTCATATTATAATGAAATAACTGAATTTTTCGGGTTTTTCAAATTATAGGGCGGTTTCATCAGAGTGCACCTTTAACTGGTTCCCAGTTATGATCTATTGGAGGTCGGACACATAGATGATGTCACGTGTCTTTATCCTTAGGCTAATAACATCAGTTACACGTACATGCTGCTGTGCCTCATGCGCCTATTTTTCGTTCTTACCTGTGATCTGCTGCTGAACAGACGCACGGCAACATCGAATCTATTTGAGTGTATTCAAAAAATATGTCATATGAGTCGCGGACTAAACGCGCAATGCAAGTTTTTTCAGTCCGTACAAATATTCTATTGATACAGCATATTCAGCTGGTTTGTAAAAAGTTGCAATAGTTGTCTCTCATTTTCCTGCAATTTGATTTTATTTCTCTATACAAGCATTGGAATTTGACTGGTTGTTGTGTTTTAGTAAAGTGATTTCAAAATGGATGCGATAAAGTGTTAAATCGAACGATATTTCCAAGTTATTATTTATCTCACCTCCTGTCACCTTCTCTAAAATACAGTGATATCGTCAGGAGAAATTCATCTTTGATCACCCTTGGGAGTGACATATTATTGTAAAATACACTGGTGACTACAAGTACCTAACATGAATTATACTCGCCCATAAAAGCGATCCCATCCGAAGGCACCGTACGATCACCATATTTTCTGATCAACGTGAATGCCGTCAACGAAATGAAATCCCACTCATTTTCTTCCTAAAGGAATACCTCGTGAATCCTGTTATTTTGAATTATGATTGTCCATCCGAAGGCACCGTACGATCACCATATATTCCCATTAACGTGAATGCCGTAAACGAAATGAAATCCCAGTCATTTTCTTCCTAAAGGATTACCTCGTGAACCCTGTTATTTTGAATTGTCATTGTCACCCTTGCCATGCTAAAATTAAAAGCGCTTGTTTTGTTTAAACTGTCTTAATTTCAGGCAAAGGTATCAATGCAAGCAAAAAAATATGCGTTCATGCTAAGGCATAATGATACATTTTTAATCTTTCCTTTTGTGTTCCTAATAGCCAAAGATGTGTCTCTCAAGAGAACTGTGATGTTTAAAAAAGTTCTGATTTGAAAATTTATGGCACAGCTCTTTTCCTCCACAAAGGGGTTTCGATGAGGAACATAATTGTTTCTTAAGTATCAAATAACTCCAACCTCGTGGCGAATGTAATTCGCTTGTCAGTGAAAAGACTCAATTAAAAAACCACTTAATGAATAATTAACAGAACTATGTTTTCGCAGTCTGTCATTGGTACCCTGAATGTGTTTCTGATAAACGTGGTTTCCTTCACGCAAGATAATTGACATTTGTTTTAGAATTTCTTTTGTCGTATCATTAATGTAAGAAACGTTTTAGTTTTCAAAGTCTATTTTAAATATGCATTTCCAAAAATTTTGTTTTTTTTTCAATGCTCGTTGCCATAGTAACGATTACTCTCGCGGCTTTGGGTTCGGCATTTGGATCAGCTATGAAAGTCGATCAACGCAATCATTACACTTTTTTATAATTGTTGTTTGAGTTAATATTATTGTCTAAATTGAGCATGAGTTTAAAAGTACATCCGACAGGCCACACTACAATATCTTCGAAGGAACTTCGCGAATTACAGAAACTCCATGAACTGGGGAAAAAGTACTGGGTAAGTAACTTGAGTTGTGTCGCGTGGTCGAGCGAAAAAAATTATTGCAGCCAATTAAGTTATTCAATATGAATAGTCTTGAAACCTTGTCCAATGTAATGATTAATGTTAGTCCTAATGCTATAACTCACTCGGTCACGAGAGATTCCCTTGCTCAAATTGAGTGTTGATAACAATCAACGATGGATCTTTGTCTTCACCGCTCTAGAACCTGCTTCGACGATCCCTCCATTTTGTTTTTCGTTTTGTTCGTTTTCGCTTTTTGGAAACTAGATTTGCTTCATTGATAAATTCCTAAATGAAAACCTTTGTTAGCAAAACTTTGTTTTCTTTTCTTTTTCTTTTTTTTTCAAACAAATTAATCTTTAGTATTTAGTACACTTGAGAAAATGAGATGCTCAAATCATCAATAATTTTTCCACCGATACCATTCCTATATTTCCAAACAACAAATACAAATCCCCTTTTAATCTCTCTCCTAACACTATACATTTACAAATTATACAACGTTACAGCACATTACTAACACTTTCCTAAAATGCTCAAGCCCGCTGCGGATAAGAAACGTTACGAGGAAGAAGCAGCTCGACCTGAGCCCCGCCGCAGTAGATATCTGTTCCGCCATCCCTATTCCAGACTTATCACTGCTTACCTGGTCGTGTTCTGTAATTTCCTCATTTTCGCTGAGGACCCAGTCTCTCACAGTTACCGTGAGTGCGTCATTGACGTCATCGGAGAAATTTACACCTTCATTTTCATAAGGTAAAGGATCAGTAATGCTTGGTTTTAAATTGTCTGAAAAATTCAGAATCTACCATCATATTAACTTTGGCGAGGCTAATGACAGACAGTTAAGAAAAGTGACATGCTTGAGAAATTGCCAGCATGTCCCCATTGGGCACTACAGAAGTTTTGCCGTCGTCCACGGGAGTGAAAACATTTCTTGGTCCTAATTTCTTTGTCATATTAGTTAACGAATTCGGAAGAAATTCTAATAAAAGAAAGCGGAAAATCAAAAAGGCTCGGATAGCTGAGCCGGCCGGTTGCGAGAGTATGTATTGAGGAGTTTTATAACACAACCAAAGTAAAGGGCGCGCTCTGATTGGTCGATTCAGCAGCCACCATTTGCCAATGGGTGTACGCTGCTGACGTGAGTAAATGCAAAGACTAGTTTTCCGCGCGCACTTTTTTTTTTTCTGGTCACGTAAGATTTGTTAAATAAAAGAAAACTTTTTGCTACAAATGTATCAATGTTATGTTATAAAACAAATGGTAAACGCCACAGTGTATAGTATTGAGTTATGGATGCACTTGGGAGGTTTGCTAAGCACTCAAGAAGCTACAGTCACTCTCAGCTATCACCCGCGCGCGACTCTTACTCTTCTTTCGTGCTTAGCAACCTACCGCGTGCATCCAAAACTCAATAGTGAACGCTCTTGTGTTTACCATTTGTTAAAATGAGAGCGTTCGTTCGGTCACCTATCAATGGAACATTAATTACATGGTTTTCTTGCAACCTATCACCCTGCACATTGAATGGTTGTTCTGTTTTTTGATGAAGGATTTTCTACCAATCTCTAGGTGGCCAAGGGGTTCTTTTTCGTTGATTAAGTTCAGCTGCTGGATGTTCGCAGTTGTTCTTGGCATGTGCATCGGTAAATGGATCGTTCATGGATGGTTATTCTGCAAAAAACTCAAGCTGAAGATGTTTACTGAGGACGGACAAGGCTCATGGATGGTGATGTTTCTGACTTCGCTTCTGTCGTTGTTCATCTTTAGCTTCGCCTACAATGGTTTCTTAATGCTGGAAGGTAAGTCAGAATATCTGTGCTAGAAATACGTTCGTTACACTTGTTTTTTTCACACATGACGTTGTTTTGGTCTACCAACTCGCTGTGAATCAATGCATGAAATAAAAACATTAATAGCAACAAAAACCACTTAAAACAACAACATTTAATTTAAAAATTCAAGCTTGTTCAACTCTATTATTTGTGAGGTGACCCATAGTTATTAGCAAATGTTTTAATTGTTTCTCTGTTACACTCATGTTAAATTTAAGCTTGCAATTCATAAACGCGGTCGATTACAGTATTTTTACTGAGTAATCAATCTGAACACTAAATCAATCTGAACACTAAAGCAATCTAAACACAATTATAAATAAAACAGTGAATTAATCTTGACCAAGAAGTCATCAGTATTGTGAACTCCTGGATTTCAAGAAACAGAATTGAGTCGTCATCCTCACAACAGTCCTCCCATATTGATTCGCTATGTTTCACATTCGGTCAGCCATTTTTGATGAGATGCATGTTCTCCCCAGACTCCCAATACCGTGCTTACGCCATGAAATTTGCATATCGAATCCCCACCACTCGTTCTTTTGCTTCGCATATCTACGATTAAAAACGAATGGACCAAGAAACAAGAGATAATATGCAAAGCTCAACCTTCATGAACTGTGCATATGCCACATCTGGCATATCTTATATCGGTAGGTAAATACATGGATAAGATGCACGCGAGTAATCGGATGGGGATGGAGAACCAAACGTTCATGAAAATGGCTGCCATTGGCACATGGCTCGGTGACTTTATTACAGCTTGGATGGTAACAGATATGATGTTACAGGTATGTAACAGTCAGCAAATGTACCAGAATTGATACGAATTTGAGACCACACTATAAACGCAACTAGCAGTAAGCGTTTTCGATCCGCCGCTTGATGGCATTTCCCGGAGTTTCTTTCCAAATGCCTCTTCCGGCCTTTTAGATTCAAAATGGACGCCACTCATTTCGTAAGGTTTAATAAGAGTCTGTACTACAAGCTTATTTTAATTTCAATGGGCATAACTAAGGTATATGAGCAGCCGAAGACCGCAGATGTCTCCATTTTTCTTATTTGTTTTCTTTATCATAAATACATTTTCAAAACAATGTACGTTTATAAAATACGTGTCCTTTTAATTCCAATGTAGGGAGCGCAGTACGCACACTGGGCACCTGGTCTCCGCAGCTTTTGGAAGAAAGGGTTGAACCGAGTTTATGCCTTTTGGTTTGTGTTTGTTGCCATGACAATAGTAGTAAGCACGGCGATCTCCACAGACTATGTAAACTGGGATAGAATCAACAGAGACTTTGTAGCGTCCAACGAGTTAGCGAGGGCGTTTTTGGCTTCGTTTATTCTCGTTATGGATTTGATGATTGTCATCCAGGTAAGAAGTGCGTTAGAGCTTATGATCTCTTTAGAGGCTCTCAATGGGGTTCACCGCTAGCCGTAAAACAGCAAAAAAAAAAAAAAAGAAAGAAAGAAACTGCATTCAGGCGTTAAAATTGAAGCATTTTTGCCGATACTCGTAACAAAGGGAACCGTAAAACTCTTTCTTTCAATTGTAATAGAAAGAAATTAACCGTTAGCCGTAAAATGGCCAACGTTTTAACCAATAGCCGTAAAAGCAATTACCCCATCGAGAAGCGTGTTTCAAGGCTCTTATTAGTTCTGTTTCCAGATTCATTGTTCTCTTTTGTACATTTTGAAGGACTGGGAGTTTCCTCACTTTGCTGGTTCGCTTGACATTAAGCTCCCAGGAGTTAACTCAGACGCATTCGATGTTCGACTTCCTTCGTGCTGCGGTGGAAAACCGATTGACATATATATCACAGGAAAATGGTTTAACTATGGTATCATCTTTATCGTCATGATTTTGGACCTCAACATGTGGAAAAACCAGATCTTTTACGAACCTTTTGCTTACGGCCAATACACAGATCCAGAGGGATACATCTACACTGTGTCTGACAGTCAATTTCTCAGGTGGGGGAACAGATCTCTGCTGTCCTACGAATATCGTTGGAATCAAATCAACCCCAAAACTAACAAAACCTACGGACTCGAAGATCTGCGAATGAACGCAAAATATAAAGGATACTCTTTGACATTGAAGGGTATCGCGTTCGTGCCTTCGATTTTTGCGTTTTGCGTCTTTGGTTATTTCCTTTATCTATTCGGCTTAGAAGAGAATCCCGATGAAGTGTTGGTGAGTAGGTATCGGCAGGATGTCAGAAGGCAGAGGCAAATAAGACGGCTGCGAAAGAAAAGCAGAAAGGAAAAGAGAATGGACAGGGAGGACGTCGGGAAATACGGAGATGGAGGTGATTTGGTGAGTGCATGTCTTCCTCTTGAAATGATTTTCCATTGTATATGGGCATGCATATTCCGGCGAAACAGAATGATAACCACATAGTGACGGAAGCGATCTCACGAGCTATGCAATCCTTATCGAGGGACGGAATTTCTCAATGACTGAACTCTCAATAAATTTCTTAAAAGATCCGACGTTGAAATCAATTTTGGATGAGGTTCCAGTCCTCATGGGAGTGGGGTGGAGGCTTAGGTTATTCTCATTTCCGATACTCGTGATAATGTATAGCATCTCTCGTCCCTAATTGGACTTGACGGCTGAAATTAAGGTCAGTTTATAAAGACTAGTCGGTTATCACATTCGCAGCCACACTAAGCTATGGATGAAAGCTTCTGGCTAAATTAACTGAATGACAGCGATGAAATTATAACGCAGTTTTTTTTCCCCTCTTTACAGCCCAATCCATTTACAACGAATGGTTCCCAAAGCTTCAATAGTCTCCCACCCTCTCCCGCCGTACACCGCAGCCGACAAGAAGAAGTTTTAGACATGAGTCTCTTCGACAATGATGTATCGCTCACTGACAACGGAGAGACTCTCGACCAATCAGAGGAAGAGAAACCAGTAGTCAAGAAGAACTTCACATATTTCTTCCGGCATCCTTACTCCCGCATTGCTACCTCATACTTAGTGGTGTTTTGCAACTTCCTAATCTTTGCTGAAGATCCAGTCTCCCATAGTTACACGGACTGCATCATCGACATTATTGGCAATATGTATGGGTTTGTATTTTCAAGGTAAGTCATGATTCTTTTTCTTTCATTCAATCTGAGAAAATAGGGTCGAGCTTTCAATTTCCCTGAAGGGAACTTCAATTTCTCAGTGTATCAAAGTCTCGCCTCTCCCTCATGTGTCACGGTACGATGCACACATTTTAGAGCATTGAATAATTCAAAAGTAATAACACTATCCCTCCTCTCGCCCTTTAAAGTTCCTTGAACGGAGCTGAAGCTAAATTGAATCGAGGAAAAAGCTGAAGCTGCTGAGACTCGCGACTTAAAACTCTCCCTCCCGGTGTCAGTACCTATGATAGGTAAATAAACTAGATACAACTGTCCCCTCCCCAAAAATAAATTCGTTATGTTTAATTTGACTTTAAGTAAAGCAGTTGAGCATCCTCTAGATCAAAAACAACAATACCTGGTCATTGTTGCTTTGTTTCAGGTATCCCCCTGATCTGGGATTCGTCGCTCTCAAAGTCTTCATGTATCTGTTCGCCGCAGGACTGGGTCTGTTCGTGGGTAAATACTTCATTCACAAATTCCTCCTTTGTCGTGTTCTCAAGCTGCGCATGTTCACTGAAGAAGGCCAAGGATCTTGGATGGTAATGTTCCTCACCGTGCTGATGTTTCTGTTTATCATAAGTTTTATATACAACGAGTTTTTGCTGCTCGGTGGAGCACACTTTGAACCTTACGTCTGCAGTAATAACTTGGGAATTGAGAATCAGACGTTTATGAAAATGGCCGCTATTGGTACGTGGCTTGGTGACTTCATCACCGCCTGGATGGTTACCGACATGATGTTACAGGTAAAGACGCTGCGAGGGCCGCATTATTTCTGAAAGTACGTTCAATGTTTTGAAAGGTCAGGGAACACGATGTTGAGACTCCGAAATAGAAGCGCTGTGATTCATACTCTTCGTTCACGTAACACTTAAAGACAAGACGATGATGTCCAAGTTTTATATGTCCTTTTTTCTCTCCTTTTATCATTATTCTTTTTTATTTGTTTTTTGTTTTGTTTTATTTTGTTGTGTTGTGTTTTTTTCTTTTTCTGTCAATGTGCCTCAGTCTCACTTTTCATCTGAACATGGCTTGACTGAAAGGTGTTGCGCGGTAAACCGTAGTTTTTACTTTCTGTTATACAATCCTCCAAGGATTCTTTAAGTTCATTTTAACTCGCGTGAGATTGGTGTCGATTTGGCGAGCAATTACACTGTATTTTATCGTCAGAAATTTAGCCGCCCTTTTGAAACCGGGAAGGCTTGGAGAAAGTGAGAGAAAATTCTATCACGTGAGTGGACGATCTGCGAAAGATAACTAAGGAAACCACTAAGGTAACTGCTTCCTGAATGATATATGACGGTTTTGTTCTTGGGCCATCGTAATTTAATCAAAAATAAGACACAAACAGCAGTGATAAACATATTGAACTTGCACATTTTAGTAGTATAGGACATAGAGACATAGGAACCAAGATTAAGCAAAAAACTTAACAATAAACAATAACATTAGAGCAGATTAATAAAGCAACAGCTTTTCACTTCCGACGTTCACCTCGAAAGCTGGCTCAAGTTCTTGAATAAGTAAGGACTCTGATTTTACAATAGTAGTCTGTTTTGCCCTTTGCCTTTGCTTTATTAATCTGCTCTAGTGTTATTGTTTATTGTTAAGTTTTTTGCTTAATCTTGGTTCCAGTCCCCTCACCTTAGTTCTATATATACATAGCTGTTTTAAATTTCAACGGTTACTTTTGAAAATGTATGTGGAGTACTTACGAAACGTCAAGTCATAATCAAAATGGGCAAATTCAATATGTTTATCACTGCTGTTTGTGTCTTATTTTGGATATATGACGACTTGGTAAGAGTTTGCGAGCTTGTAACGATAAGATGTCATCTCTCTTGAAACACCTGCACTGCAGGATGTTTTAACCAAACATACCTCGCTCGTCCGCAGGAAGAACAGTACCCAAACTGGAGCCCACTCCTAAGAGCGTTTTGGAGACGCGGTCGTAACAGAGTGTATGCGTTCTGGTTTATTGCGTTCGGCATGAGTGTCGTGGTAGCCACTGCCATCACTACTGACTTCGTTAACTGGGATGAAATAAGCAGAGACTTTATGCCAACCAATGAGCTTTCCAGGGCATTTTTGGCCTCGTTTATCCTTGTCATGGACCTCATGATTGTTATGCAGGTACTATTTACGATATCTTACATGATGCAAGTTTCCGCTGATTATCGTGGTCGCATGTCCTCCTAGTCTCCTTTGTAGCGGTTATTTGGTCTCGTAACGTAACACACGCTCTCTCCCCACCAACGGTGATTGTTTGAAGAGCACGTTGCATGACGAGACCAAATAACGTGTGCGAAGTTTCAGGCATCAGGTCTCTTTCTGTATTTTTATAATATTATCCCTCAGACTTTATTCGACCCAAAACCTGCTTGACTGATGAGCGCTGGGCAAACCTCAGCACAATCGGCGAAAGGGTTTCAGAATTTCTTGAGAATTGCACAAATGATAAAAATATGCCATGTAATTGTGAATGAATTCGCCATCCATCTTTCTGTAGGACTGGGATTTCCCTTACTTTGACGGAGGTATGGACATTAAACTCCCGGGTCTCAACACAGGGAACTTTCATTTCCATCTCCCCGGGGGAGATATTCATATCACAGGGAAATGGTTCAACTACGGCATCATATTCATTGTCATGATTCTGGATCTAAATATGTGGAAGAACCAGATCTTTTACGAGCCATTTGTTTATGGTCAGTACACTGACGATGAAGATTACATTTATACCGTTTCCGACAGAGATTTCTTTGTCAATGCTACCGTGGAAACACTGAGTTACGCATGGCGTTGGTCAAACGTTAACCCACTGACAAACGAGACCTACGGTTTGGAGGATCAAAAAATGAACTCGAGATACATAGGATATACCCTTAGCGCAAAAGGTACAGCGTTTGTCCCGTCTCTATTCGCATTTGCCATGTTTGGAATCCTTGTGAAATACTTTTCCAAAGGTGGACCTCCGCCGAAAGTGGCGCCTTCTGTCGAAAACGATACCACGGACGCCGCCGTCGAACAGCACAACATAAACGATAAAATTAGAAATGATGCGGAACTCACTTCATCAATGCCACAAATTAGAAAAAGTTGTCAGTCAGTGACAAGTTCCGAAAGCGTGTTTGATGCCAACAAAACCAAACATATTGGCTCCTTCTTGAGCGTCGATAGCTCACGTAATGGTCTCAATGCTCGACGTGATGACCTCGACAGTTCACGCGATAACTTGGAGAGTTCACGAGATTTTCTGGATAGTTCACGTGAAAACTTGAACAGTTCGGCCGATTACTTGGGAAGCTCACGTGATGATCTTCACAGTACACGTGATAATCCCGAAAACTCTCGCGACGACCTCAGAAGCTCTGTTGAAAATCTCGCAATTTCACCGAAGGGCGTGGTGCCTGGTACCTCGACTCGACCAGCCTGGTCATTCGACTCTCCGAAAAAATCGCCTACAAGCAAGAAGCGAACTGAACGCAGTGGTAGTTCTGACACAGAAAAAACTATTCAACATCCTCAGCGCTCTAATGAGGACCAGGATGAAGAGAATATGGTACAAGACTTTATACAGCAGCTGTCCTTCTTGAAACTCGAAGATGAAGACAATCAGGCTGCTAGTAAAGAGGACGCATCACCCGACGAAAATAACCCTGCAGTGGAGATGAAGGATGACAGAGCTTTGTCATTTGGTGACTTGTTTCGACGAGATCCTCTCAGTCCATCCATGTCGCAACTCTCTGCTACTTCGTCTGATGACGAAGATGGACAAGTAGGCTCAGACATGGAAGTCAAAACAAGGAACAATTTCCTTCAAATACCACGTAAAAAGTGAATGAACCGAAACCTTTAAACTGGTTGATGGGGTTGCGGAGGACATAGTAAAAAGTAGATGAAGTAACTGTCTTGTGATGGTAGATTATAAAAGTTTATGGTCGTTTTTTGTTAAAAACAGAATGTTTTGTGTCTGCTTACTGTCTATTCAGTAATTTGCCTCCAAAAGGGAATTACAGGTGAAGAGACAAGATAAACTTGTACTTTAAGTGCCAAAAGACCCACGGCAGTATCGATAACTTGTCATCACATGTATAATTGAAACACGTTACAAAATAACTCGATAATAGTCAGCATGATAGGAAAAACCGCGGCAATAAATTAGGTAAAATCAGTTAGCTTGGTTTCATATACGCCCACACACTAAGTTAAGTCACCCAAACAACGGAAGTCACGAACCCAACTAACTAACTCTGAAATACCTTTTTAAGCAACCTTGACGACTGAAACCAAATGAAAAGCACCCATACTGTACAGTCGAACCTAACTAAAGGCCACCTCTCTAAAATCACCACCTCACCATGCACTACCGCCACTTTATTTGGTCCCAGCGGGCTGTCCACACATTACACCTCTTTCTCCCCCATAACGGTCATTGCCTCCACAACGGCCATTTTCTTCTATTTTTCTATTATTCTATCAGTTTGAACAACTGATTTGATAATTTAAGTTGACCACCGCAAAGAGTTTTCTAAAGCTGTCGTTTCGAGCGTTAGCCCTTTGTTAAAGGGCAGGACATTAACCCTTTTCTCTCCTAGGTGATTGACCTTTAACTTCTCCCTATAATAGCCATACGTCATCCAGCAAATAGGTAATGAGAATATTCAAACTTATCAGATAGAAACTGTTACCTTGATTGAACACCAAATTCTCGTAACCAATTTACAAGGAAATGTGCAGCAGCTAGAGGGGAGAATTTACAATCAGATTTTGGAAGTTAAAGGGTTATAGGATGATAAAAGTGATAAAACTCGTCACGGTCTTCATATCCGACTTTGGCCACTAATTAAGATGATCAGCATCCCAGCCATTTTTTCACATTTATTTCAATTTGTTAGTATGAAGTGCGGCGTCATGGAACAACATCGGAAACAGTTATTCGATCTGTTTTGATTTTTAAAAGACCCTTAGCGCGAATCTTGAATGCTGTTTCCGGTAACTTCCGGAAGAAGCGCTTGATATGAAACAAATGCAAAGAATCAGTTGGGATTCAGTAGTCAAAATGATAATAAAAAAAAATTTTTGTTAGTGAAAACCCAAAAAAAAATGCATTTTCGCATTGGTTCCGAGTACCAGGCCCCTATGCTGACCCAGTGAACCAAGTACGATTAAATGTTCTCCAACAACCGTGCATCTGGACAGCATATTATATTTGCTTATGATGGATGGACGCTCTTATTGAGGGACTCCTCAGTTCTTGAAGCCAATGAGCTATCGATGTGCGTGACTGTGGATATGTGCATGTCTAACTGCCTTGCGCGCACATCACGAAACGCAGACCACCTGAACTGCGCGTGATGTAGCCGGATATGATTTGTCTCCTTAATTCCTTTAGATTTTAAGAGTGCTTTTTTTTTCGGTTTTTGTTTCAAAAGCAGTTTAAATTGCAGTCCTCCGAGCTTTCGAGGTGGCGACAGTCGGCCAGAAGCGACTAGAGTCTCAAGGATTGAAGTAAACGAGAACCAAAATATTTTGCATGAGTCCCTGTGTAAAGTCCTATAGCGTGCGGGTTTTCGCTCGAATGGGGTCACCTTGAAAATGTTTATCGCTCAGCAGGCCGATAGTAACTTTCTCCTCATCTCCTAAGCTCTATAACCATTAAATTTCATACGGGATGACTCGCTTCCACGATTGATTCTCAAGACCACGACAAACATAACTATGACGAATAATCTCCGTAACTCATAATATCCCTTAACTATTTCTTTACGGAGCCGACGTATTTTCTTGAGGTTCATGTTTCACTTGATTTAATCTGTCATCGTATTTCTAATCATCTAAAACTATTTTCTAGCGGCGTCCTGAAAGAAGGGAAAGATCCAGAATCCAAACCTCGTTTTTAATGGATTTTGTACCTTTCTGAGTCGCAACTTTGGGTGAGCGTAATTTCTTACAATAGTTCTTCGTGAGGAGGATCGTAGGTCATATGACACAATTGGTCTGTTTTTTGTTCAACAGCTCAAGGCGTCAAAAGTTGAGCGAGTCGCAATCGTGAAGTGCATTCTTGAATTACGCAGCGTGGCAAAATAGATGAAAACAACTCCGCTACTGTTTGAGTACAAGGTCGACGCTGTCTAAAAGGACCTACTTTGGTGAAACAAGAGTAACTATTTTCGAAGAAGAGAGGAAAAACAAAGACTCCGAAAAACATCTTGAACTTTTGACGCCAGATTTGACCATAGTCGTTTATCTGTGTTTACAAATATTACGTTGTACGGAATCTTAGAACTTTAGACTCGCCAGGACACAAAACCATTTATATATATATAACGTGATTCAGTGTACGAGTGTACGATTCAGTGTATAACGTGATTCAGTGTACGAGGGAGAAATGTCGACACGGAAATACTGTACAAGCCAGGACCAGGGACTATCGCGACAGAGTACGAAAACCTATAAAGCAGTTCGACAAAAATCAAACGCTGAGCTTGGTGAGAAACTTCGACGCTTAGACAAGGAACATTACACGACTATCTCGAAACTCTTGAACGAGAGGTACACTTGGAGAACGATTCATTACAATTTACAACGTTCCGGAGAAGAATCATCTTCAGAAAGCGATGGTGATAGCGGACCCGAAGACATTTCACATTGTACTGTCACTAACGAGGAGGAATGCCAAACTGTAGAGAAAAAGGTTCAAGGTGCACTCATGGACAACGGTAAGAAACTAAATTATCTTCAGTTACCGAGCATAATCGAGGAGTCGACGATGATTTCCAGACAAAGATCTCCGAAATTAGGTCGGAGCCCTCTTCCACCATTGTCGGAACATGGCTTCCCGACTCGTGTCCGACGAAACACCGAGAGCAACCACGAAAGGCCGACATTAACACGACAGCGTCAACGAAGTACGACCCTTCCTGTGGGTCACATGCCTGGGGACAGACAAAGAAAGACAGACTTGAAGAAAATTTCGAAACATGACAAGTTAACGCATAGCGAAGGAAAACGAGTGGGTGACGAAAAGTCTAGTCTAAACAGAATTCAAGACGATAATGAAGTAAAGAACACGACCTTATCGTGGGAGGATCAGATGCAAGGCTGTCGATACCTAAGACCGCACAAGAGGAATTCGACACCTGACTTTCTAGACATGAAGGAAATATTTCACGTAACCTCTGATAGATCAACGAGTAAGAATGATTAGCGCTGATTTATATTGAGCGTAAGGTAGCGTGAGGAAAGATCTTTTAACTATACAGACCATAATCTAAACCAAGGAAATATAAGCCTTGGAGGGAGTCTAACTGAAAGAGACCAAAGTAAAAAGAACTTTTCAACCCTGCTATCTTTATTTCCAACAAGGGCGAAAAACATCAACTAAGCAAGTTTGCCTGGGGGAAGATTATTTTGTTTCCATCGGCTGACAATGTCTATCTTGCGCGTTCAGAAATAGAATCGCAAATAGAAATAGAATCAGAAATAGAATCGCACTGCCTTTCTAGAGACTGTGGAGTATACCGTATTAGATGTTAAACCATCAAATAAGGTTTTTCAAGAGATTATGACATCTTGAGTTTATATAGCATGTCATAGCTCGCGGTTTGGATGATAAGAAATTGGGTGAATGCGAAAAAAAAAAAAAAAAACCACAACAGCAACCTAAAAGGAAACAGGGATGATTTTAGATGGAGCTTCTGATTTTAGTCAAAACTGATATATTGTTCAACAGATCATATGGTACCGCTCAAAAGTAAGTTGATAGTCACTCGAAACTCGTTTTCGAGAATCGAGGGTCTCGAAAATCAAAGCGACTGATTTTTTCACGACTTTGATAATGTGCAATATCATATAGTACCGCTCAAAAGTAAGGTGACAGTTACTCGAAACGATTCTCGAAAAGTTCGAGTCTCGAGCGTCCCAAAACGAGGAAAGAAAGGAATTTTCGCGCGATTAATTTTGCAAAGCGTCTCGATAGTTACGAGTCTGCCAACTTACTTTTGTGCGTTATTGTCTATCGATCGCTCGGTTACTCTTCGTCACCAAAAGGGGAAGCCTGCGCGCAGACCCAGGCCCTCATTTTTGCCGTTTTGGCACGAGCTATTCTTCGCCCGCCGGAAAAGCAAAGCAAGCACCCGATTCGCCTTTAATCTACCGCTTATAAGCGAATCTAATTATACCAAATTACCGCATACATGCTGATAAAGTAGGACCTATTAACCTACCGAGATTAGATTACCGAGAACAAAACAAAGGCCAAAACAAAAGAAAACAAAGGAAAACAAAACAAAGGAAATTATTTCAGACTGTTTTCGGTATCGCAGTCGCACTTAACATGTGGCAAGGTTCAAGCGAAAGAGGAAAATTCATCGCTTTTACATCTGGTAAAAAGAGATCATGGATAAAATTCCACGCGTGAAGATTACTGAAGAACAGAAAAACATTCTGAAATCATTTCCTTTGTTTTCTTTTGTTTTGGCCTTTGTTTTGTTCTCGGTAATCTAATCTCGGTAGGTAAATAGGTCCTACTTTATCAGCATGTATGCGGTAATTTGAGAATAATTAGATTTGCTTATAAGCGGTAGATTAAAGGCGAATCGGGTGAAGCAAGCTGGTAAGAAGTCTATAGGGGATCTAGCTCTGACTATTAGTGCCAGTCCTCGGCAAACCTCCCCCTGGCCCTGACTAGTCTCAAATCTTCCCGCGGGCGGAGAAACACGTGTACGGGTCTACTCGCAGGCTACAAAAGGGGAAGATCCTAACGATTGATCACATCTCCCACAGCACACAGAATACGTTTCTGTAAGACTGTAACGATTTGTTTTCTCAGTATGCTGCCAAATATACTTATATATTTGCTTAAAAGAAAAAAAAATTTCCGGGGGGAGGGGTCGCACTACCTCTATATCCTCTCTCACTGTCTTAAAACACTTTTTAGGATACATGAGGTCACCACACAATTTCTCGTAATTTAATTTATTTCTTGTGCGCGACACCTGAAGGGTAAAAACAAACTTTTAAAGACTGAACAAATGCCTCGACGAGTGATACTTAGTTGTATATACCTTTAGGCGTCCAACAACGTCGCAAAATTAAATTAAAGGCGAAAAATTACGAAGGTATTATGGCGTAGAGGGGGATCATTGTGCCAATTATGCGGTGCTAAGTAACAGAAAAAGATAGAAATAAATTTAGACTGGTTCGAGCATCGGAAAGCTATTACGATACATGTTCACTGCAAGAAGTCCTTGTTCAGTCTCTCTGTGACTCTGTAGTCCGGGTGAACTCTATAAAAGGGTGCTTCTTGGCGACATATCTAACTGGGTGTTGCAAAAACTCTCAATAAGGCGGTATCCCTTTGGTATTACGGGTGGCCACAAGACGATGTTATCACTCCTTAGTGGCGTTGGCGTAGAATGATCTTGCTGCCAGTTCTACATCTTGCGTGTCTCTTCAGTCGCAACCAAGTAATGACTGATGAGAAGGTGGGAAGACGCTCATTTCTAATCCTCGTCCTCTTCGTCACTGAAATACGAACTCTGCACAATCTTGCGCTTTTTAGCGCTGCCAACTCCAGTAGAGGTACTACTCTGATTGGATGGTTCATCTTTGGAAGCCATTCTAGCGCACTCGTCGATTACAGCACTTAAGCTGAACTCATACGGGTCTTCCCCACCATCTTCTTCCTCTTCTTCGTCTTCATCTTCTTCATACTCATCTCTAGGAGAAAACGTAATTCAAATTTCAAATATCAAATTTTGGTAGAACAGAACCAAACGCTTCTGGAGTCGCATAGGCGACCTATAGTTAGAACTACACATCGCGCAATTTTACTTCTAACTTGAAACGCAAGCGTCCTGGACACGGCTTGCTGGGATCGCTTTTGTCAAAAGCATTGTGTGTAAATAAATTAGGAAAGATGTTACATTCGCGGCTCAACACACGTGAGCTGAATACATAATCTACATGTATCTCACAAGCGACTTCTTAGCCTGTGCAAAGCTCTTAGTAAGTGGAGACGAACGGAAGTCTGAGAAAAAGGCCAAGCAGTTGCGGGCTTCACGCTCTCATTTCGCGAACTCATTTCCGCGCGCCCACTTTTCTCTGGTCTCCACTGAGAGAGTGGAAAGCTTATCGAGTTCCCTGTGGCTCAAAAGTAGGGCATTCAACCATAAAATTGTCTGGGTTCGAATCTCTGAGGAGACTCAGACTTGTCTTCTACCAACGCAGGTGTAAAATAAGTAAACTCTTTACTAAAAATAGCAAAGGTGGCCAGCCTACTCTTGCTTCTTCCTCTTCTTTTGCTTTTTCGGGGGAGGATCTCTATCTCCGAGCATGTTTTTAGGACACTGGTAACTTAAATGTCCATACTCCTGTTTAAAGAAACAAAGACCAAATCGTTCAAGAGGTTAGGGGATTACTCGTAGTTGTACACTAATAAAAAGAGAGAACACCAAAATCAACAACCATCTAACTAGAGGCGAAATTGATAAAACATGTCCTCTACCATTCATGCTAGGGTGACTGGGAAAAGAGAAAACCTTAGGAGAGGCGTAAAATTCTCTCCACTTCAAATTCCTTTTTTTTAAGATTTCACGGAAACCTCCCGGAGGTAGCTTCATTTGGTGAAGATAAGTCACCCGTGTCGAATCGCGGCCTTAGAGGTAACAATATCCATAAGTTACTTGAGACAATGGTGTGAGTATACAACTGTCCGAAATGAGTGCACGCAAAAATAATTACACATTGCACTTAATTCATCTGAATCTTGATGAATCACGTTTACACTTTCAAAGATCGTAGGTAATAACACACTAATTTTCAATCCCTTTTGCTCTTTCACTTAAGTTAGAGAGCTTTGTGTTCGGAAAAAAGTGCACTATTACATTATCTATCTCTTCAATCACTGATATAACTCGGCTGTGTACAATACAACACGTTGCTATACAAGGCTGAGCTATATAATCCTGCCTGATAACAATCTTATCTTTTCACCACACAATTAAAATTATTGGGCAATACAAGGTGGTAGATTCATGAGAGCTGATGCTAATATTGTTCAAATTCTTCATTGATTGTGCCGAAAAACCAATCTCTGGCTGAAAACTACTACAAATTTCAACCATTGTCTCGGGTTTGGCAAGAAATACTTGAACAAATTCAGGACATTTGGCTATTACATGAACATGTCTCTGAAAGATATCTATACAAAGCTCATCTACATGCTATATCCATCATCAATATTTTAGGGGAAAATGCAATGCTGCAATTGCAGTATAAATCAAGCAAGGTGATCACTTCCTATAACAGGCTCCTACCCTGAAAATAATTTTCTAGTTAGGACCTGGCATGGAAAGAAAGAACACAGAGAAGTTCCTGTGCAAATTCCCAGGTTTTCACAGATGTTCTACTTTTGCACAGAACAAAAAGTACTCAGTAGCACAGTTTGGAATAGCAACAACTGCAGCAATTTCAGCAATTATTGTCTGTTGAATAAATCTTCGAACATCTCTTTCTTTAACTGGCTTCTAGTCTGCTAATAATATTCAAGTTAGGAACTGGCACAGAGAGAAATTCCAATTGGTCAACTCCTCGATTTCACAAATGTTCTATGCAAAATCCCTTAGTTTACATAATCTTATCTCACAACAAATACAAAATTGACCAAACCGATTACTTTCTATTTCATGGTAAAAAAATATTTGAACATTTTCATCACAGTTGACAGTTACAAAGAACCTTTCAGAAATATGTCTAGGTAACATTAACCTATACGCTATCTTTTTCATCAATACTCATAAGAAAAAATTGTAATGGTGCAAGTGCAGTATCAGAATAATGAATTGAGCAAGGTGGATCTCTTCCTATACTAGGCTTGTAGCCTGAAAATAATTCTTAAGCTAGGACCTAGCATGGAAAGAAATACCACTAAAAAATCCTGGAGTTTTAAGTACTAGATTTTCACAGATGTGTTAGCTTTGCACTATGCAAAAACACTCAGCTCACACAGTTCACAAACAGCTACAATGTACAACTATAGAATTCAGCTATTATTTAACAATTATTCCATGAGCGCACATTGGATATGAGATGATAGATAGCCAACGAGGCGCGTAGTGCCTCGTTGGCTATAATCATCTGATATCCAACAAGCACGAGTGGAATAATTGTTTTATTAAAAAAAACCACACCCAAGATATTAAGACAAATCTTCTTGGCTTTATTTTGTAGAAGAAACCGGATGTTACAATGTACAGATATTAGATTATGGTATATTGGCTCATATACCACAATGGCTAGGCCAATAAAAAGTCTTGAATTGCATTATCCAATGATCCAGTTTTAAATAATGTCTATTGTATGATATTGAAATCTTTGAACATTTTCACCACATTTGACTGAGACATACAATCTATCAGAAAACTACCTATGCAATGCTTATCTCTTATACATCATCAAAATTTTAGGGAAAAACATGGTGGTGTCAGTGCAGTACGAATCAAGTAGAGTGGATCTCTTTCTATACCAGGCTCCTAACCTGAGAACAATTCTCAAGTTGGGACCTGATATGGAAAGAAATTCCACAAGAAATCAAGAAATTCCTGTGTCACACCCTAGGTTTTAACAGCTGTTTTGGTTTTGCTCTGCAGAAAAGCACTCAGCGTATATGGTTTGCAAACACCAACAACTAGAGAATGCAACTAAATTTTCTAATGTATGGCAAAAAAATTTCTGAAACTTTTCACCACATCTTGCAAATATGATCATGGTAAAAAAGGATACCTCTATTTTTTAAAATTAAAAGGTGTTTTAAACTAAAGTATGTACTCTCTCTACTTCGTTATTTATTATTTTATTTAAACTATCTTGTTGTGTCCTTATTTAGTGGTTTTATTACTGCTATTTTATAATTGACACATGAATAAAGTTCATCATCATCATCATCATCATTGCCTACAACTAGCTGCCTTCAGGAACACACTTTTCCATCACTTTTACATCCTTTAGGATAACCAAGACTGCCCTTATTCAATTTCATCAAAATCTTATATAGGTAGTCACAAGTGTACTCAATGTTGCAAAAGGAACCTCACCCCACACTCGTAACAGTGTGATTTGTCCGGATAGTTCTTTCTTCTAATGAACTCTGTAGCCCGTCCATTGTCATTTGCAATGGAGCATTTTATTGTGCGACCAAACATCTGCAGAAGAGAACCGCACAATAACATGTAGCTGAAAACTAAAATGATAATGTCAGAAAATAGCAGTTTCTAAAACAGGCAAAAACCTCACCCAATCTTTCAGTATACTGAACAACAAACAACAAAATACAATAGATCTCCACAACAGCATGCTTAAGTTTCTAGCAGAAACCCACAGTTCACAATGACACACTCAGAAGTACACAGCTCTCATGATGTACATATAAGGGGCTTTGCTACTAACTTTGTAGACATACAGTGGAATCCCCATTTCTCGAATCCTTGGTTTCTCGAACCTCCCGATATCTCGAACCAAACCTTGTTTCCCTTGGATTTGCTTCCCTTGTAATTTCACCCCCTTGTAATTTCCCTTGAACCAATTTACGTTTCCCCTGGCGGTTCAAGAAATCGGGATTCCACAGAACTCGATAATGTAATGAGCTGGAAATGAGACAATCATAATTTGCAA